CTGATATTGTGGCGCTTCTCAATCCTCCGAGAGCGGGCGGAGATCGCTCGCAAAGACGCGGCGACGGGCGACGATGTATGCCAAGACGCAGATGAGCAATTATCAAGTCAAAATAAAATTGACGACAGAGGGGATAAACTTTTGATTAAGCTTAGGCTGGGATCGTTCCCACATTGGTGGTTCTGGTGATCCATCGTGATGGCGGGTTTGCCGACCTAACCGGCCGTTTTAGCCGGCTTGGTGTTGAGGACCTTGGCTTCGTTTGACTACATCTCATCGCAACAGAAAAGCCTAATCAGCCGAAGAAAATACTAAAAACAGGAGAATTCAGCTAGAAACGCATGTTGATGTAGTAGATTGAGACAAAGAAATGGTTCTGTGATCTGCCTGTAAAAGAACTCCTGTAGCCGAGCTGCATAGCCTCAAATGGCACAAATGCAATGCTCATTATCTCGGCACGTGTAGTAAATGCATGTAAGCCTCAACTCAAGTGCTCCGCATCTCCTTTGCTTCAATAAATTTACAAGGTCAAGCCGCGAATAACGGTCATATTATTCATTTATTACACCTAGGTCGTTCTTTATCAAGTGGTGTAGGGCAAAAAGTCAAATACATGTGAGACCACTTAAACAACGACGTCTAGTCTTTTGTAACGTACTTTGCGGAACGCATTACAGCTGCGCTTGAGGGTGATATAGAAACAGCCGTCTCATCTTATCACGATAGAACAGCATGTAGCGAGTTTAAGCGCTGGCAACTCTTCGATTTTGGCTTCTTCAATGCACTCAAAGCCCGAGAATCGCAAATTACCATTTTCTAGGACCCTACACTGAAGCAGTCATCCGGTTGCTTGCAGCGATCATTGTACCAGAACCACGCCCTCGCAGGGTTTCTAAAAGATCAACAGCTGGTAAATGGTGTTAATTGCTGCCCGCAATCAGAGGTGCGACTTTTAACAACAGAAATAAACAACTTCCGAAACCTACGCGGAGAAGAGCAGAATTGACCCGAAATGGAGGCGCGGACACCAGCAGTGGCATGGCAGGCAGGCAGAGAAAACGATTCAAGAGGAATTAATACGGAGCGGTGGCGGAGCAGGCCGGGCAGCCCGGAGGAAGGTTCGCGGTAATAACCAAGTCAGACCGAGACGGGGTCGGGCGATGACGTGGATGCATATTGGGGGATGCGTAAGTCGCAAACTCGCAATTGACTCGGCTCACTCCTTTTCATTTCCCGCGGTCGCCGGATGGCTTATCAGTAACGCAAGCGAAAGATGTCTAGAGAGTCTGGACTGTTCATCCCGTCAAAGAATTCGAGATGTACGACGCCATTCCCCTGCCAAGAACTGAAAGTGCTGTCGGGGCGAATGCGAGGCTATAGAGTATCTCGTTCTCGTTTGGATGACGCAGCCTCCCACATCACTTGGACAGCGACTTGAGAGCTGGTGCATGTTGCCGGTGTTCAGTCTCCAATTTTCTGTAAAGTTAAAACAAGTCCTTAATGCCGGAAGATCTGTTTTCCTAAGATCATCGCTCAACTAGAAACTAGCTGCGGTGATCGGGAATATCTCCAATTGGCCCCTCTCAACAGTCGGTCGCGAAAGTTGATCGATCTACAAACGGCCATGCAGCACAGGCTGTCCGCGCAGCATTGACTCTGGTATTGAGTTTTGCCCAGCTTTGAAAGCTAGCCACATGTTCAACACTTTGCAAGACTCGAATTGAGTTCTCTCTTGTTTTCAGAGACGGCAACACGCACAAACCAGTCTTGGCCCCGAGGACCAGCTCTTAATGGTTCTCCTGGCTTGTTAAGTGACAGAGTTTCGGGAAGAATGAGCTTGAGTCAATCGCCCTCACAGAGATTTGGCAAGTGGCACTCAGGGCAAACCTAGTTACCCAGTCGCCAGCACCGTAGCACAGGCACAGCCCAGGATTTTCTGCCCCTATTTCCTTATGATGTTTCGTTCCAACTGGCGAGCCTCGGCGCCAAGGTACGTCATGATAGCAGATGTGTTCTTCTAGCGCGGCCTGCTAAACCTGGTGTCTGCGAAAGGATGAAATTATTCGAGATGTTCTGGAAAACGAACCAGGGATGCATCTGCAATGGAGCAGATAATAGAGAACTCGTACCTTGCAGCGGGTGACGCCTTCATAATCGGCGAGCTACAACATCCGACGAGCCGCTAAAAGACTGCCAAGCATCTGACTATTAGATCGATACCGAGTTTTTCATACCACTTCTATTCTTGTTCGTCGCGCGACATTCGGGCGGGTAGTGCGACATGGCCTATGGGGCACCAGGGGCGCGTGAGCTGCAGGGGGATCGTAATCTTCCTGATGCTAACAAATCGCCCACAACAGTCAAGATACAATGATGGCTTTCAAGATCTGAATCGTCCAGCCTTTTGGCATTCTCGGAGGTCCTCCGATACTCCGTAAGACCAATCATCGCATGAAGCCTGATGCACAGGATGGATGTCGCACCTCATCCTGCCTCTCTTAGTCAGTATTAACAAGCACGAGGGCTGCAATCCTGGGCTGCGGCAACGTGGTGATCCCGAGACGGCATTGAAAGCTCTTTGTTCAAGACATCTTTAACGAAGGCCAGACCACCCCGTGATCAGCGTTCCCTTGGATTATTCGACGTTCCACGAATCACCTGATCAGATGAATTCGATTCTGCTCGGCATCCGAAAACGATATGGGGGCTGACGTTGCAGTGCGGAGGCAACCACCTCGACCCAAAATCCTGATCCTCGACAAGCGGGAAGCCACAGCTTTTGCTGAGTGTGCTCAACAGAAAACACGGCAGAAAATTATGGCTTTGGGCAGCAGACGCGGGAGGCAAAACTGTGAGCACTTGCTGACCAGGTTGGCTCGGCCCCCACCTGGCTCAAGGCGGCCGGGACACGTCCGGTCTCTTGTAAATGACCCTCTGCTCATCAAAAGGCCCGGACTCCGGAAGGGTGGGTGAGATACTCCGATCGCCCACCGGCAGGCAAAAACTTCATGGCTAAATCAGTACCAACAGCTGGGGCAGCCACAATGTGAGAGACAGCTGTATCAGACTTTTTTGTTTGAATGGGATTCTTTTCTTCTTTGCAGACTGCACGGTGCTAGGGCCGTCCCCCCGATGGCCGATGTGTGGCCTCACCATCACATCACGTATCCCCCATAATAGGGGCCAATATGTGCGGCTGCATCACCGGTATTGACCTGCAGCGTGTCCTTGCAAGGCCACCCTTGTCATATATCCGATGACATATAGTTCCCTCCCGCACTGATTCTCGAGTTTTCTTGATACGATCTACCAGTGCCGCGGTTCAATACGGAGCCAGCCTGAGGACAAAGTTATTATGCATCTCCAGCTCGACCGCCGATCAGAGACAGATATCGGATGGGATCTTCAATAATTCAGTCTCTATATCGTCTGATCCGAGGAGGCCGGCATCGCGCCAGCTTGATGCCACGTGAACGAGCAAGGCGCCGACAGCGCAGAAAGTGAACACTTGGCGACCGACCTACGAGGTGATAGCATGCTCAGACATCAGCGGGCGATGGAAAAGCAGGGGAAGCCTCCATGTTGCTCTATCCGTACGGATACCGTCATCACCATCAATATTCCGTAGATTGACCGACCATTCTGTCCCGCCAAGGCCCTTGCCCATCTCCTTCTTCGCCCTCGCGGCCGCGCCAGCTCTACGTCCTGACACGGGAAGAGCAATATGGGAATATGGGCATCATGAAGTTTTTTCGTCTGAGAAAGTCTTGGCACTGCTTTGGAAAACTGGAGATGGTGGAGTTGTCAAGATAGACGCCTTCGCGGTGGTTGGCTTGGCTGACTTGTGACCCCCTTGGAGAAGTTGGCGCTGGGCACGACTGTTTCGAAACGTCCTGCAAGGGGCAAGTTCGACATTGAGAAGTTGGAGTTGGGCCCCCCAGATGTCTGACAGGGGAAGTGGGCAGCAAGAAATCCCGAGTGTGGATATGTGTGTTGTTGCTTGAGAGGCGTGATGGTGCGTGCATGTGTGAAGCTGAGTGGTGACTTTGGGTGAGAACCTGAGAAGGAATGCGAGGAGCCTCTCATGTTGGTGTAGGCGCGTGGCTTAGCTGCTGCTGCCAGGGGCTCTTCGAGCCCACCCATCTGGACGATCACTTTATTCCAGACCTGGGATTCGTCTGTGTTCAAGCTTCCGGGCCAAGAATGATCGAATTAAAGGGCAGGCCTGACTAGTCAGGTACCCGGGGTCCCCAGTCGAGCCGTCCGATGCCACAAGAGACTGTCACTCGAGGTTCTGCTGCCCTCTTTGGGCAACGACCTGCGCGCGGGCAATCAAGTTGGGATGAGTCCATGTCCCAACTCGGGCGTTGGCTCCGTTCCTACGATGGAGACAGGCTCCTGATGGTAACTCCATGAACATGGAATGCCACACGCAGACCACCTGGGCGACGTTGGCGCCGTTGGCAGCATAGGATTCAGCTCTACGTGAGCCCACTTAACGAAACCTGGTGGATTCTGTGACTCTAGTGCGATCTTCACTGCCTGCATCGACGCTTTCATTTCCTCCGCGTCGCCTGTTGATTGATGCTGTATTCACTGCGGAGGGGATGGAGCACCAGGTCTTGGCACGCGTTGAAGCAGGATTGGGCCTCGTCGAATACACTACCGCAGTAGTCTGGACGAGCCTCTGGGCCCATGAGGGTGTTCGGTAGTAGTGTAACTCCAATGTCGACTCAGATATGGACCTGGGCAGACACAATTCGTTCCACCCCAGACATCTCACTCGATATAAGTAACCTCGAGATGTCCGGCCAAGAGCTGGTTCTGTTCACATTACCTCCACCTCATTAACCTTTTCAACTTCTTTGTTCATTACACTCTTTCAAGCAGGCTTGAACTATTTCTTCATTCTCTCAAGTAGACAAGCCTTTATTCTCTCTATCTTCAACCTCGCCTCTTATACATCAACCCCATCAACAACCCACACAACCACATTCACAATGAAGTACTCTTTCGCCATCGCCCTCAGCACCCTCGTGCTCGGCATCACCGCCGCCCCCGCTGCCAACGGTGCCGCTCAGGGCAACGCCATCGCCCACGCTGAGCGCGGCTACTTCGACTTCCTCCACCACGCCGCCCGCGCCGAGAAGCCCACCAAGACCAAGTCCTCCAAGGCGGCTAAGAAGACCAAGCACTCCACCAAGACCCGCCACCCCGGCTCCATCATCACCTCCGCCCCCGGCGCCCCCGGCAACGGCACCAACAGCCAGTTCGAGATCCGCGCCAGCAACGGCACCGCCGCCGCCGGTCTCCCCGCCTCCTCCGGCACCTCAGTCCTCAAGGCCGCCCAGACCGTCGCCGCTGGCGCCTCCTTCGATGGTGGCATGAAGGCTTTCGACCGTGGTGTCTCCTGCACTGGCCAGGCCGAAGGCGACGACTCTGACGCTGTCTTCATCCTCGAGAAGGGCGCCAAGCTCTCCAACGTCATCATCGGACCCAACCAGATCGAGGGCGTCCACTGCAACGGTGGCTGCACTCTCGACAATGTCTGGTGGGCCGCCGTCTGCGAGGATGCCTTCACCATCAAGAAACAGGATGCCGGCGAAACCACTACCATCACCTCCGGCGGAGCCTTCGGGGCTGAGGACAAGGTTCTTCAGCACAACGGCGCCGGTACCCTCTCCGTCAGCGGATTCACCGTCGAGACCTTTGGCAAGCTGTACCGCAGCTGCGGCAACTGCAAGTCCTCGTACGAGCGCCACGTCATTCTCGACAACATCAACGCCTCTTCTGGAAAGCTCCTTGCTGGTAAGCTCCTCCCATACACAAATCTGTTTCCTCGTTTACAATTATGCTAACTTGTTTCGCTCGCAGGCATCAACTCCAACTTTGGTGACACTGCTACCTTCACCAACATCGTCGCCAAGAGCGTCACGGAGGTCTGCACTGAGTTCAAGGGTACCACCCCCGGCAACGAGCCCACGGAGATCTCCAGCGGTCCCTCTACTGCCTGCAAGTACGCCACCTCTGACATCCAGAGCTCTTAAGCGCCAACGAAGATCATCGCGAGATCTGACCGGGCACCTTTTGTCCCGAGTTGAGAGATCATACGTGCCCTAAATTCGGTGAAGAGGGCATTCTAAACCTAGGCTTGTTCACTTGTAGATATTCTTCATTCTCGTACATTCCCAAAAGCGTGTGTATCTAGAATTCAAAGCCCTGTGGGCAATTATCATCATTCTATGTCTAATTAATAATTGCCGTGAATGCTGGAAATGGCTGTGATTCCATGAGGTAAGATATGCACGTCCGGCATCACAGGAGCGTCTCGACACATCGTGTAGTGAAGAGATAAGTCTGTCCAGAGCATCATGTTCGAAGCCTACGGTGGACACCTATCGATTGTATATCCGTTCCAATTGCTGTCGATTTAAGTTTCAAACTTGAGACTTATTCAGAGGCTTGAGAGTGCGTGTCGAGCATCTGCTCAGGGGCAAGGGCATTCCTTATTGATTCGCCGCCACATGCAGATGAGACGGTGAGGCTGGAACATTCATGTGACATGAATTTCTTCATTGGGCTACAAATCTGACGCAAGCTATGAAGCAGGAAAGAGAAGGCATCTCACTAAGTCAGCTGTCCCGGGTTTGCGTTAGTGTTTACGATGCATTGAGAGGAGCAGGTGTAAGAATATGAGTTTTGCTATCCGGGAGGTGGTTTTGTAGGTGAGTTCGGGTATATCATTATCTTGAGGACCTCTCTGAAGAACAACAGATGTCATATTCAAGCACTCAGTCAACTTTCGATCAGGGGCAGGTTCTGCGTGGACAATTTCTATACCGTGGTGATCCGCGCTTTGGGCAAGTCGCTGTGGACGACCCCCTCTGAATATTTCTTAACTGGTCACTTGGATCGGCAATTTCAGCAGCGAGTCTGTCTCAGTCGCCTGCTACACTAGCCATCTCCTCTCAGCTATCTTTTCTCTCTGAGGGGTTCTTCACTATTAGGTGCAGCTTCGATTACATTCCAAGGTCACCGTAGCACGTATGTTTTGCCGGATATATGATGAAGTCTATTCGGTCTATGATATCCTCCCCAGCATAGCGCAGAAGTAGAAATGTAGCTGAAGAACTAGTACACCACTCATATCAGATTCTTCTACCTTAGATAACGCAGTAGTGTCATTTCGTTGAGCTTAGGAAGCAGAGTGAATGACTCGCAGTAACTCCATAAACCAAACGATGTTAGTCCTTGGGATATTATCCTACTTCGCCTCGTTCTTCATACACCTGGAACCGCAGATAGCAGGGCCACCTTTCAAAGCATCATCCCACTTAGTCATACCCAGCTTCTTGATGTCCCGAGTCAACTCAGCATTGCCCAGATCCATCAAGGCCTCCAGCACGGCTGACAAGGATTCATGATCCGGCCCATCTCTGTTGATGCTAATTGCATGAACGGCAGTAGTGCCAATGTTGCCGTTGGGAAACATTGGCGGGGTCTCATGGACAACCATGAAAGGGAGGTCCTTCGCGTCCATTCCCCAGAAGATCACGGACCAAGACTGCATAAAGCCCTTTCCAGGACCGTCCAAGATTGTGTTATCAAAAACAGCGTCCCAGTCGGAGTTCAAAGTAGGAAAGTTTAATCGACGAGGGGTGTTGTAGGCTCGGACGGAGGCCACTTCACGACCACCGCCGCCGATCGCGCCATTGCGGGCGGTTTTATTGTCGGCTGGGGTCCAGGTGGTGATTTCATTGAGCTCTCCCGCCAGAGTTCCTGGACTGCAGTCTGCCGTATTGTTCTTCTCACAGGTGGCGATGGCAGGACTGAGGTCCCACTGCAAGTTGCCATACGTGAGGTAGGACGTCCCGGAAGTATTTCGAATGGACCAGGTGCCAGCGAAGAATCCAGCAGGAGGGGCCACAAAGCCAGAGCCCGGCGCGCGGCATCCAGAGGTAGCGTTTCCAGTGCTGTTGACCGCTGGATTGAGAAATGGGGGAAGGCGCACCAAAAGCTCTGATGGTGGACAAGAGCTTCCGGAAGTGAAGGCCGAAACTGAGGCTGCCGGGACGAGGCAAGCCAAAGCGAGAGTTAGGAGCATATTGGGAAAAGTTTGAGGTTGTGTAATGAGCAGCCAGACCTGGATGAATGCAAGAATCTTTGCTTGAATAACAGTTCGTAGTGAAAACGTTGACGGTGTAGAGAATGAGAAATTTCTTGGAGAGCATATCCACCTTATATGTTTCTACCTCACATTAGATGGACTCAATTACCTCGTCATACTAGGAGCCGTCGGGACCACGCGAGGTGAGTGCGAGCCCATAGCACCCAGCATTTGACAAAGTTGGCAATGATCGATGGATTAAGTCACTGCCTAAAAATGCCAATGCCAAGGCGCAGCCTTGTTCGTTATTTACGGCGACGATGACATCCAGAGCTTCGGACTACGACGGGGCGGGACAGTGGAAAACTAGGCTGGCGGATGTATTGCTCTAGAGGCATTATGATACTCGTCATCTACCGTACGTGAGAAAGCAAGAGCCACAACGTCAATTCAAGCGCGAGCAACCAGTGTGCGTTGAATCCGAAACCCGAGGCGGCACTTACCGGGGCGGCGCTTACACGCGAGCACCCAAGCCATGCGTTCGAGGTTTAGCGCCGAAATGGGGGCAGCGCAATCTGCTGGTTGCGCTGACCTCGGGTAGTACGCGAGGTTTAGGTGCAGTGCGAAGGATGATTAACCCTGTCTATTGTCCATATCTCGTTAGTCTGAAGACCTGGGCTCGTGGTGACTTCGGGTTTCTCACAATCTCAACCACGGGTGAACAGCAGACGCCAATCATCTTCTAACCCATCAGAGCACCATAGTCTCCGGCAATCCACGTCATAAAGCACATGCGATCTTTCCTAGATTTCCGCTTCGCGATTTCAAGCCTACGAGCTCATTTAACCTTTCTTGAGCTCACCAGCCACGCGCCTAGCATGCCTTCTGGACGCAGTGCGACTAAGTCCCGACACGGGTGCGACCGCTGCAAGCAGCGTCGGGTTAAAGTATGTGATTTGCTACCCTACACATCGGACGCAATGAATGATGAGATTTTGTTCGGACACAATTGAAGCTCCCATCAAAAGACCTATGCTTACCGACATGCTGATAGTGCAATGAAAGGGCACCTTGCGGAAATTGCATCAGAAGGAAGGAACACTGCAGTCTGCTGGATAGTCAAAACCCTCCTCCGCCAGCCTCACAGTTGTGCGACAACCCGACCCTTGACATTAAACACCCTGAAGCAACATCATGGGCGTTCGATCTTTTTCTGATGAGTCACTTCTCTACGGCAACTGTACATACGTTCAGTAGCTTTCCTTCGGTGATCGATGCCTGGCAGACCACCATCGTTAGCGACGCATCATCGTGCCCCTTTCTCCTCCATGGCATGCTCGCTATCTCAGCCCTGCATCTTGCCAGTAAGCACGGATCTACAAACAACGATGACTGTCAACACAATCATCAAAATTACACGCATCGTGACTATATGCGTGCTTTCAGATATCATCAAGATCAGGCCATGCCGGAATACCGCCGCAAGCTGCAAGCTCTAGACTTCAGCGGCAACGAGGAATTCGCAGTCCGTACCAAACAACCATGGCCGGCAGGTCCGGTTTACTCCATGGCCGTCCTGATAGCTTTCACGTCTGCCGCCGGCGTCTCTGACCACTCTCCTTCACTGAACCGGAACCAACGCGACCTGGATGGGGAACACCATGAGCAAAGTACCGTCCTGTCACAAACTTTATCGCCTGCATCGGGCGAGACTTCCCGATTAGAAATGGTCTTCGATCACTTAATGGAGATATTTGTGGCCACTCGAGGTACGCGTGTCATAGTCAGAGCTGGACTCGATACGGGGGCCTTTCAAACGACAGCGTATCGTCATCTGATCACCACCTCCACCGTCGCAAACCAATTCCCGCTCTGGTCTACTTCTCCGACAATTTCGCAGTGGTACAAAACTCTCCGAACACAATGTCTGGAAGAATTAGTTGGTGACGGCACAGTTGAGAGATCTGAGGCTAATATCTGTGCCGCTGCAATTACCTGCTTGGAAGAGGTTCATGACGGCGCTGCTCGACTCTTGGAGGCCAAGAAAGAACGATTATGGCAATCTAGACGTGACAACAAATCGCTTCGGTATGATTTTGTTTGGTTAATGAAGTGGACAGCAATGGTGTCACAGGAGTTTGTCGCCCTGTTGCATGAAAGGAATACTGCGGCTCTAGTGGTTCTTGCACAGTTCATTGCCACTTGCGAGTCAATCGAGCACCAGTGGTATTTAGAGAAGTGGGCGAAGAACGCGATGGATGCGGTCAGGCATCTACTTGGCTCAAGCAATGCCAATGCCAATGCATGGGTTGATAAGATTGTAGGACATTGGCCTAGTATAGATCCGGATTTAGTCTCCCCTGGACTGGAAGGAAAATGAAGATCTGCAAGTGTTGCATTATTTGAACCTGAGCATTTGGCCAAGAATTTGGTGAGAGCTGACTGGAAGGCGTAGAGACAAGATGTTCCTTCAGGGAAGCGGGGTTTGAAGTGAGAATGGTCGTTGTTGGTGGTTTGCGGGTATCCCGAGGAGTCCGAGCCGTTGAATGTGTCACTCCAGTTGCCCAATCGCTTTGACATGCGATGGTATGAAGAGCCGCCTTACTATCAGTTAGCGCCTCGGATCGAACGCGAGGTGTCCGTCAGTCTTGTAATTGCACATTCTAGTGTCAATCTAGCACTGCGGTAGCCAGGATATTATTATGAAAGAGCGAACTGCGGAGCTATCTGGTTCTCCCACGTCATCTTGAAGCTTCGCAACCTGTAAGCCCGCAGCTATCCCTGATCTACCTATTCGATAACGGATTCGCTAGACGACTTGCTCTTGGCTGCCTGGGCCTTTGATTTAAAGCCGGTGCGATGCCACTGCCCATCGGCATCAACATTCGTTCACCAAATAGCACTATACAACACACCCTCTTCTGAGTTTCATCAATCTCCGTTTCATCTTCCCTTCGCTAATTGTCTAACACAGAGCTTGCACCATTATGCTCCTTTTCCGAGTACCCTTATGGTCGTCCCTGCTAGCAATGGGAAGCGTCCGAATTGTAGCAAAACCTGCGGGTTCATGTCAAGTATGATTGCTTTCTCTTATCGTAAGGCCTCTGTTACTTATTCTGACCTTCGGTTTTCCTCTTTCAGGGCGTTCCTACCCCTATTTCGTATCCGAAAGCTCCAGTACTTGAGGATTCCCAGAATCTTACAAGTGTCCCATTCACCGGCGAAGCAGCTGAATGCAAGCCATTATCGGCCCCTTTCATCTGGCTTCCGGAAGCGTCATCGCTGCATAGCGATGGCGGCAATTCCGGCGGTCAGGACTTTCCCGGACCGCGCGGTGTAAAGACACGCACCAGCGCAAAAGCCCAGCCTGCCTTCGTCTTCCTCTGGGGCCAAGACAATCAACTGACGTCGGGCTACATCAATACAACCACCTTGAAGTACGGACTGGTGGCACTGGATCCGGATTCGATGGACGTACTTGCGGCGTGGTACCCAGAAGATGACAACCAAGCGCTGAACATCCCATACATGGAGTACATTGTCAAAACGAACGACGTTCTAGTCAGTTCGGCCCAGGGCATGATCTGGGTCGTGCATCGTGATACTTGCCAGGGACGCCCTTACTTTAAAACCACGCGTACCGTTGATCTGCGCCCTCAACTGCAAGAAGGTGATCAGTTGCTCAACGCCATGTTTGACATCGAGAAGAATATCTGGTTCACTACTGGTGCAGTGCAGCTCGACACCAGCGCCAACGGTACGTTGGCCAACTCAACCACATATGGCTACATCACGCCTAGCAACAAAGTACACAAGGCTCAGCTTGATGGCGAAACGGTCGAGAATGGAATAGCTGTGGCAGGCACCGACGTTTACATGGTCACAAGCCCGTCTGGCAAATTCAATACACCTAATGCGCCGGGCTACATGTATTCGCTGACGACTAAAAGCGGCTCTGAAGGTGGGATTAGCACACGTTGGCGAGTTCCCTATTCCGCAGGTGAACGAACTGAACTTGACCCCAACACGGCTATTTCGGCGCGCGGCTCCGGTGCAACGCCTGCGTTGATTGCCGATAAGTATGTGGCCATCACCGACAACGATACTCCTCGCCTGCATCTCAATGTGTACCATCAAGCGCCACAGGCGGAAAGTAGCGCTCAGCTCTTGTGTCAGGTGCCGTTGTTTATGGACAACAAGGGCTCAGTGCAGAACAGCGTGCTAGCTCATTATGATACCCAGCAAAAACAGTCCGGAATCATGATACTCAACTCGTACGGCGGGCCAGCATTTTTCACCGGCCAGGACGGACAGGACATGAATGGCAAGTTCAACAACATGAGAGGTATGGCCGGCGGAATTACGCGCGTCGATGTCGACGAGCACGGCAACTGTTCGGTGCGCTGGACCAAAGATACCAAGTCCAAGGGCGTGTCTGTGCTCTCCACCAACAACGGTCTAGTCTACCACTATGTCCAGGACGACCAGCGTGCTATGACGGATGACGAGTACGTGTGGTATCTCATGGGCCGCTCCTGGGTTACGGGCGAAGAAAAGTTCAAGGTGCGCGCTGGCAGCGGTGGCGCTTTCAACGACAATTGGAACAGCGGCGCCTTGGGCCCCTGTGGAACCTTTTATCAGTCCGTTTCCGGAGGCATCGTGGCTTTCAAAGACGGAGGCGATAGTAGTTGTTAGGCGAGACTTGGGTGAACTCGAATATCCTAGATGCGTTCTGGATAAGGTTCTGTGCTGAGTACGGCGATGGAGTGACCATAGATCGGCCACAGGATAGTCAGGCGATGGTGGATTTGCTGTGAAGCCAAATATGAAATCCATTCAGACGGTCTCTAAAGTAGCTAGCTTGATGTTCTAACGCGCTCCAATACCATAAATCATACACCTGTATCCTGTGACACTTACACCTAATGCACCTTGTACCATTGAGATCATCCCAATTTATCTCCTTCTTCTATTAAGAAAGGAAAAAAAAAATACCCGGACTTTGTAACATCATGTGAGCGAGCGTGTGATCGATGCCTTGCATCTTGAAAATACGTCAAGAACAGCACATTTTCGATTTTTCAGAACAACGTTCTGATACACGGGCTCGATTTCGTTACAAATTCCGCACTGCATGCGTTGTCAGCAATACATCCGTGCGAAGTCCGGAATGTCATTCCCCTTTTCACAACGAGCAGACGGTTCGCCTTTCAAGAATCATAGATGGACAGATCGAGAGGGGGGTCTTCACAGTCATTTAAGCGATTTAACCCACTCTAGAAAGGCTGTTAGCGACGTACCTTAACGACTGGCACATCTCGGACTTCCTTTGACACTCTCATCGCCTACCTTACCACTTACTCGCTGAATTTCTTGAGTAGCGCAGCCCGTTGATGTTGTTCAAGAACTTGAGGTTTACGCTACTGCAATCTTCTTCTACTCCAGACTTTCGAGATTTCATGTCCCGACAGACCAGCAGTCTGTTGATTCTGATTCGGACCCAACTCGAACTTTTCAACGCAGCGGCATTATTCTTATTTGTAGCCTTGTCGTCGACGGCTTCTTGTGAGGCTTCTCTATTGCATCACAATCAGATGGCTTGCAACGCGCATTCAAGCGCTCGTTAAGCTCTCTGCTCTCTCATGATTTCGTGGTCGAAGGAGATCAATGTCGAGGGCTCTATCATACTGGCGATGTAGTTACTCTCTTCGATGTCTTGGCCTACGATTATAATGACGAAGCCGGCAAGTGCGCTTCTAAAACTGAGTTGATATTGAGCAAACTCCCGCCCGATGTTCATTTCATTCTACTGTCTTATATTTATTACGCATGAAAATTGAAAAGATGCATTCACGCTTGGGATACCTTCAGAGATTCTCATCTCGGACATGCTCGACTCATGCGAGTAAAAGGTATTGGAGATCGACTGTATGGGTATCTAACACACAATCTCGCAGAGTGATGTTGGGAAAATTCATCGGTCTTTTGCGACTTCAAACGTCTTCTATGACAGCTTCGCCAATGTTATGGAAAGCACAAGGCAACTGTAGTCTCGTTTGTCACGTCCAGCTTTGAGCTGTTTTCCCCTCGGATTTGAACTATGCGGCAGATCCATCACAGCTCGTAGCATCACTCAAGGAGCTTGAGTTTCGGTTTGAGAAACCACCTGCTAGGTCTTTGCTGCAAAGTATCGAGCAGTGTCACAAGGTTTGGAAGAGTCTACTAGTACCAGCCTTCAGCACTACGTCCGTCGACAGGCAAGCTCATGGGTACTGCACGCCCTTTTGTGGGCATTTGAATCTGCCGTGTTCCTCAGCAAGTGGCTCGAAAAGTATACTGCCACTGTATCTTCTCTGAAAGAAGGTGAGTTCCAACTCGTTGATGAGAGCATTGCTTGGTCTTGCGTGGCCCTCTACACTGACCAACGGTTAAGATGCAGCATACCAACGTTCAGTCAAATTACTCGGCACGGCCACATCAACATTTGCTAGACGCCGAAGAATTGCCACTTGACCCCGACGCAGGAACGTTGTCGTGGTCGACTTTGAAATTCTAGGGGAGTGTCTTACAGGGGATTGAGACAAAGGCATTCGCAACACGTTTTGGGGAAAACTCTTGACATCTTGGCTGAGTTTCAGAGCGAGTCTCTAGGAACTCCACATTAGACCGTATCACACTCTGGATCTCGCGAACGAACAGCCGACTATGTATTGACACCAGAGGGACCCGTTCATTCCGTCAAAGAGCAAAAATCGCCGAGGTACAGCTGATGTCAGGTTGCAACAGCATATCACGATGGTACGCGGACTCCCCACAAACACTGCTGGAAACAAAGCCCCGACCCACTTTGTCGGTGACTTCTCCAAGTCGGTGACCCCTTCTCCAAACATCCGATGATTGAGGATGATGCTGGGGCTTCAGCAATGAGCCTACATAATGACGACGCTGCATCATTTAGAGCATGTTTTACGACGCTTAATCTTCCTCTGCATGAGAATTCAGTTGCTCTCCCGCATACTACCTAAGTACACATCACCTGAAAACGCCCCAAGAACCCGACAGATTTGACCTCGGAGACCCACATCTCTGCTCTCAGTCAACAGTAGGAGCAAATCCTTCAGTGTAATTCCTGGGTATGCGAGTTTCTGAGATATTCTATTACACATAAATCGCAAGATTTCAATGCATTCATGGATTGGTTTTCCCGGAGCTAGATACTGATTATGATTCTCACAGAATCCCCACCACACAGCTAGAACCATGTCTTCAATCAAGTTCAACACCCCTCCTGGCGCTGGAAAGATTTATGGCGAGGCCTGCCACTACTCACAGTCCGTGGACCTCGGCAACGGCATCGTGAAGTGCGCTGGACAAGGTGGCTGGGATCCGGAGACGGGCGCGCTCGACGCGAACGACACCAAAAGACAGGTTGAGCTGGCGATCGAGAACGTCGACATTGTCCTCAAGGCAGCGGGCCTCCGAGGATGGGAAGACGTCTACTCACTGAGGTCATATTCATGCGATATCCGGACCTCTTTCGATTTTATTGTCCAGGGCTTGAAGGCACGGATTCCCGATCACCGACCTATCTGGACAGCAATTGCTGTGCCTCACCTGGCCCTTCCGGGAATGTTGATTGAGCTGGAGGTCGAGGCAAAACGTCAGGCTTAGTTAGGTAACATGTGTTTTGTATGTAGCGCAGTAGAAGTCAGCTTAATATATGAAGATGAAGACCCCCGTTTCCACGTCTTGATATCACGACCCTTTCCGAGTTTCAACATCCATCAGTCAAGCCGGCCCGTACTAGTGAAGCGGGGATGTGAACTCGGCCGAGATCTCCACTTCATTGCAGGTGACATGCTCCGACTTTGATTTTTGGTTGTGTTGCTGTCTCAAATACAAGCTTATCCAACATTAACCAATAGCCTTGGAAGAGGGCGGGCTTTGGCGATGAAGCTCATGTTATGCACTCACACATGTAAAGCATGCTGTTCTCTCAAGGTGTTAAAGGCAATTTCCGAACTCACTTTTCAGAAAGACATCTCTTTTCGCAAGGAAATCTAGCAATCTGGAAACGAGGAGACGACTATGTTAGCTGTACTTGGCGCGCAAGGTATGGGTCGTTATCATGAGGTAAGGTAAGACCAATGGCTTGATTACGCGGGCTGTGACATCTAACACCATCAAGGCCATTAAGCACGTCATTACTGGCCTGCCGGTCAACGGCGCAGACAAGGGACAATTACAGCGGGATACTCCGCAATTGCCACTTGGGAATCCTTCGAAAGATTCAGCTGCCGGCTTAATCCTCACCCTAGAGCAAGTTGGAATCAGCACACTCAATAATCCATACGACGTTGGGCCGACTCGAGCTAAGGCCATCGAGTCTGGACGCACCACACCCTCCTGCCAGCCACGCGCCCCACGCGCGTCTCATTCTTTGAGTAGAACCCCCGCGCCATGCTCAGCATGTCGGCCAACTCCCGGCAGGGTCTTTTCATATGCAACCCCTCCAAGCACGAGGTCCCTTGGTAAAAGACTTTCATTCTGGCGATGTCGGGTGCTCCCCGACTTCCGGGGATGCTTGGTGGGAGGGAATCTACCCACAAATCCGGGTATGGTTGACGGGCGGTTCGCATGGCACAAGTCCGAGATGTTCTGGCGCAATCGATAGTGATGTTGGATTTTCCCCAGCAGGGGGTGTCCACGATCGGCAGCATTCAGCTAATATCTATGGACCAGACCCGGTGACTTGGGTGACCTTGAAATAGAGTTTTCAGTTTTCAACCTGGTTCTTTCCGCCTTTTTGAATCAATTTGAAGACACTTGAAAGTGTGTTCATAGGTGTCTGGCAACCATGGCGACAGCAGACAATACTGTCCCCAGGAAGAAGTGGTGGAAGATCCAGTGGTACTCAGACGATGACACCCCCGAAGAGCGCAAGTTCATCATCAAACTCGATCTCATTGTCGTGCCCTACGCAGTTCTAGCGTACTGGGTCAAGTATATCGGTATGGCCATTTGCTCTCCATTCATTGGCTGTCGGTCTGCTAACAAGTAACACAGACCAAGCAAACTTGAGTATGTTCACGACCGTTGATAGCCTCTGCCTCTTCTATCTGGCAACGTCATGCTAATTCAAAACAGACAATGCCTACGTCGGAGGAATGAAAGAGGAGCTTGGCTTCAAAGGCAATGAGCTCGTCGAACTCCAGACAATGTATACAGTCGGCGCAGTTGTTGGCATGGTGCCCTTCATGTTCTTGTTCACTTACATCCCCATGTACTGGACCATCCCCGCGATGGATATCCTTTGGGGACTTTTCACCCTGCTGCAATACCGAGCACACTCATTCGGGGAGCTGGCGGCGTACCGATTCATGGTGGGCTTCTTCGAAGCAGCCTTCTTCCCCGCTATGCACTACGTATTCGGTAGGAGATGTCACTGGCCTCTTTTGACTGGAGAAGTAGAATGCTGACCTCAACATAAGGCTCTTGGTATCGCGGGCACGAAATTGCACGGCGAGGAGGTATCTTTTACACGGGACTCAATCTCGGAACCCTGACGGCAGGCCTCATCGCAGCTGGAGCATCACACCGTCTTGAAGGTGTCAACGGGATGGCAGGCTGGCGTTGGATGTACATCATCTGCGCGATCATCACTATCCCTGTCGGCATTCTCGGATACTTTCTCCTCCCGGGCACTGTAGAACAACCGAACCGCTGGATCCTCAATGAGCACGACATCAAGATTGCAAAATCTCGCCTGGAACGCGGCGGGCACGTCACCCGCGGCAAGTTTAAGCTCGGACACCTTAAACAGATCTTCCTCAGCCCGCAGTTCTGGACCGTTGTGCTTGTCGATGTGCTGTTTTGGAACGCCGGTATCCATAAGAGCACGGGCAGCTTCCTGCTTTGGATCAAGAGCTTGGGCCGCTACAGTCCGGCGCAGGTCAATGAGATGGGAACCATTGCGCCAGCCTTGGGGATCCTATACAACATCGTGGCGTGCTTCCTGTCTGACTTGGTACTTGGACCCGCATGGGCTATCACCTTTTCCTCGTTATGGAATGTCACGGGCTTGATCATGCTTGTCGTCTGGGACGTGCCCGAGGGTGCCAAGTGGTTCGCCTTCTCGACGATGTACTGGTCCAACGCACTGTCCAGTGTCCTGCACGGCTGGGTCAACACCATCCTCAGAGACTCTCCGGAACAGCGGTCATTCACCCTTGTCATGATTACCATCATTGCCCAGTCGTCGACAGCCTGGACACCGTTGCTCACATTCCCGACTGTTGAGTCTCCAAGCTATCCCAAGGGATTCTCTTTCTGTCTGGGGTGTGCTGTTGCGCTCATTGTTGCGACGCACGTTCTCGATGTTTATATCAAACGCAAAGAGTAGGTCTTGCCTTACAACCTCAGGAGAATAGATATTCTAACATGTGCGTTACAGAAAAGCGAAGCATGCGCAGCTTGAAAGCGGCAGCAGCCACGATGGTAGCTACGTTGATGCCCCTACTGACGCTACCGGGAAGACTACGACAGCCGAAGTGACGGCAGTAGTCAATACTTCGGAAGAGTCCATAGCAAGACACTGATTGGGCATACCAATGATGTTTTGGTAGGAGCTATATCATTCTTCCGTACAATGATAACATAGCAGCATACATGCAGACTTCAAGTACTGGTACTTTGTCACTGAACTGGGACTGTGCGACGTAGCTGGTCCCGCTTTTAACAAGGAGTAGATGTTATTATCTACCCAAACCACGTCAGAGACCATGCTTTTCGCAAGTCTAGATACTAACAGTGAATACTACTAATAGCACATTGGAATGAGTGGGCGGCATTCCACTCAAACGTCGTAAATGGATTGCCCTTTTTTCCTTTCACATCGTGCAAGGCTCCTTGGCCAAGGTTGCTGTCTTGCCATCATGGGTGCATCATTATTGGCATTGGTTATCATTTTGTATGTGTAGCACTAATTAGCATCCAGGAATTCAACATACTCAAGCAGATATCACGAATGTCAGCACTTGAGACCAGAAATGTGACTTCGCCGATGGCTACAAGCCACCTGGCTTGACTGCAACAAGAGGTCATCCAGGGATGTCGAGGTCGAGGTACTTATGGAGGTTTACCATAAACTTTAGCTTATTTACGTACTTTTTATGTGTTTACCTGAGACTGGACCCCGAGACTGTTGAGCGTATGGCTGAGGTGAATAAGGTAAACCGCAATGGTTGCCAGGGCAGCCACCATCCACATCACCAACGCCGCGCCTTCCTGAGGTTCACCCAGCCACATCACAAACCTTCATCCGATAACCTTTTCGCCACCAGAATACACAACAAGCCCTCATATACCCCTCCAACGTAATTCCTGTCACCAGCACAGCAGGCGCCCCCTAGGCCGGGGGTCAGGTCAAACTGTGGCGTGGTGGTGGAATGGTTAATGGTCAACATCAATTATCTTCGCCAACCAGCCTACTCGACGACAGGCTTAGCGCATACGAGTATCCAAGTTCGAATCCCAGCATGAGCACCAGAGATGTAGCCCCCAGTTCAGCACCGGGGGGGGTGAACTCTTTTGTGTTTTGGACCTTCTTATATTTCTTTTAATTCTCCGCGTATTTCCTCGTACGCCGCGCTTTTATTTTTTTTCTTTATGAATTACTAGTTATAGAAAATCTGTAGTAAGCTATGGCCCGTCTATAGGGGAGGTCTTGACGTGTAGAACGTCGTGATAGCGTTATCTACCTTACTCTAGGCCTTACTAAGGTTATGTAATGTTAATCACCTCAGATAGTTGCTAAATATTACCTATGGTGTTTTCTTAGGCCGGTAGAATTAGTGTACGAATGTTAACTCCATTTTCTATTCCCTCAACTTGTTGCCCAGTTTATAATAAGTTTGAAGGACTATCAAATCTGCATACGACATTGTTATTGAAGCCCTTGCTTGGGCAAGGTAGTGCCAGGAAATAGAAATAGTCATAATTGACCTCGAATAAGGTAATTTAGATAGACGAAAGCCCAACAACGAACGTGTAGAAACAGAAATGTGTAATTACACGTGATACCTCTCTTCCTCTATGAATATAGAAGAATTAGATCACCAAATAACCCAGCTGCCGAGTGCGTACAACATGTGCATCGTGCCCTTGTCCATGACGTTTTCTACTCTCAACCCAAGTTGGGAGGCCCGTTTCTCGAGATGCATCTGCTGGTCCTTTGAAAGAGGTGCTGTGCGCTTGAGAGCTGCTGTCATCACACTGCGTACATTTGTCAACTCATCTGAGAACATCTTGAGACAGTTCCCATATCCTTGCGGAATAGTAATCTTGATTCCAGAGGGATGGTCCACAACCAGCTTCAAGTGCCCTGTGAAGTGGAAAGGTAGCCGAGGGTCCCAAATAGTGAAGTTGTCTGTCATGCTCGCCAGAACCAAAGAACCGACGCCGCTTGGAATGCAGTTCTTTACGCAATTATTCTTGATTGTGATTAGGTTCGAAGGGTGAGTTTTCTTCATCTGTGATAGAATAGAGCGGTACGGCTTGACAGCAGCTTCGATCAGCAAGACACGAGTAAGAGCAATGAGGCCTGGTACACGTAACGTGTGAGCAAAGCTTTTTTCTCTCTAGGCAAGACACATTGCCGTTCTTGTTCAACGCTTAGGTAGTGTAGAGTAGAACAGATGCTATGTATTACCTGACAAATCATTTTCGCTCGTGTTTTGGAGACACTCAAGCGGAATCATTGGAAAATCATTGATCTGGCCACTTGGAGGTGTCCAATGCACCCGTTGTTTTCCATATTGCACCCACATCACATTAGGTCTGGTGATAGTCGAAATCGGCACGCCTTCAGCTATCCTGACCACCATGTCGCGGAACAGCAGAACATCGCCCGTTTCCCAGGCGACCCAGAGCACATACGGCTCGTTCAGATTCGAGCGCATCGCGCTCAGCCAATGCCAGCTCCAAGGTCGTAGAAGGGACAGCACGTTGTATTTGTTACAGAGAACGAGAAGGTCATGAAGCCTGCGAACGCTCAGGCTGAACGGTACCTGGTCAAAGTGGCCATGGATGATTCCAAGCATTAGAATCGTCCCCTCGAGCCCGTCCCCTTGCAGCTCAACAATCCAGTCGTTTGCCTTTTTGCTTTCGGCTAATCCGCCCTTGCTTGCTTTGTCTTTGGTTGATTCGTCTTTGCTGACTTCGACTTCCCCAGTTTCACCCTCACCTGCTTCGTCCTTGCTTGCTGGGCCTTCGCCTTCGCCTGCTTTGCCTTTGCTTACTTCGTCTTTGTTCACTTCTTTCTTGCTCGCTTCACTCTTGATGAGGAAGAATTGGTTTTGGTACTAGTGATTTTTCGGCGGAGGACGTGAAGATACTGTTCTCGGTCTTTGGGAAAATGCTGGGCGGTTGATAATCTGCCATTTTTGAGGATCACAGAATACCGTGCCGTGGCGATGAGTTAGGCTGGTCGTATGCGTGTGCTGTAGGGGCTTTGAGCGATGAGAAGTTCCCAAATCGGATTTCCCCTATTTTACTTATTGGCACTTGCCCAGGTTGTCATATAGACTCATTTCTGAATTTCAGCCGGCGATTGTTACTTTTCCCTCTGCCTTTGGTTTTCCTAAGTAGAACGTTTTGCATGCGACATCAATCAGGCAAATTTGGAAATGCTACGGGCATCTCATTCATCTGAACTTCAAAAAAATTATTGTATGGCGCAACGTCTGACACTACGCCACGGAATAGCAAGTTCCTTTGTCAGATATGTAGAGCGCCCAAAGTAGAACCAACAAGTCTTCCCCGTCGGAGCCGAATAAGTGGGGCCGAGAGTGTGCCTCAAGATTTAGCCAGTGCCTCATTGAAGCAAATACGACAGTCCATCAACTCAACCCTGTGTAGAACTTGAAATGCACAAGATACATGTACCTTAGCCTTCATGATATACCGTTTTCATCAGTGTCTCTTAACTTTGGATTTGATTCTATCTTCCATTAGCCCAGATGGAGGGCCCAAATAAAGGTAGTCATTGTACCGCAAACACCATTCGGTTCAAGTCGTCCTTTTTGTCTGGTTTACGGTCCCAATGAGCGAGTCAACATCCATGAGACATTTTGAAGTTTGCGAACCCGCCCTCAACTACCAGACATGTCCCATAACAGCGTGACCCAGGCAAAAATCTCGGAGAAAATTGATCACCGCGAAAGAGCGTAATTATCTCATCACTCTCAGCAGATAGAGGTAGAGTTGTGGTAAGCGCAATGATGTTTGATGCACACTGATTTAGCTCTCTATACACCTTGAGAACGTGACCTGGTCGCATGACCAGCTTACTGAGACGATCGCGCCGAAGTGATACCGCAAACACCGAATCTCAAGACCGCGGGGGATTGTGGGGTTAGTGCCGGCTTACGGGTCGGGAGGTCCACCAAGTGCCGGCCCAGTGACCGAGAGCTGCTGACTTGCACTGTCATGAAGCAAAATGCCCTTTAGTAATGAGAAAGCGACTACGTGAATCATGAGGCTTTCCCCATGACGCGATATGTCTGAAGTTTTCCAATCGTCAGATTCTTCCCTCCCTTTTTTTTTCTTCCTTTATTCTATTGCAACCCTATGTTGATGCCACGCACGCGTCCAGTCCAATCCACTCATCCACACACTTCCACCACACCAAAAGAGATTTCCCCTTCAGGATCACGGTCCCCCTTGCACTTTTGACCCCAACCAATCAGACTCCGAATCGCTACCAACCTAGGGAGTTATTCGCATTGGCTTAGGCGCCTCACCCGCACTAAAGCCATGTTGGCAAGGTGCCATCGAGCGTTTTTCACATGCCCTTCTAATTCCCCAACTTGGACGAATGGCCAGTCAGAAGAGAACTCTTTGGGCTGGCTGATTGAAGGGTTCCCTGAAACTGGCCTTGTTTGGACACAAGTAATGGCAGGTGCAGAACGGGTTATACCCACAAGAACCCCATCTTCCCCCTTTTCCCAAGAGGAGAGCGACTGGCTAAGACACTGAGCCTGTCAAAAGCGCAGCTGTCCACATTTGCTACCTCGTGCAGTCTTTCGGAGCCTGCAACGTCACCTTTTCCAACACCAAGCACTTGGTTTATTGCGCCAAACATGACAAGAAGTAAAAGGGGGGCAACAACTAATGTGCGCAGTGCAGGTGTCTAGATCTTGCAGTTTAATAGACTGGTTTGCACAACTGCCGCTAGCGCGGTGGCGTTCAGGTACCGCCATTCCCATATGTTCTCGCTAGGCTCCGTCACACAAAGGTCACCAATATCTCTCGCCTGATGTCTCTCCGTCAGTCTTGGGGTCCATCTGCAAAATCACTGGACGTGACGAAAACAATATACCGCTTGGCAACGGGGTCCACCTCCCAAGACCCCAAGACCGTAGACGAGAAGGGAGCTCAATATGACAATAGCAAAGGTCTGCCGAAGCGAAGCAGGCTCAGACCTTGGAATCATCTGCGGGTTCCTGGGGGTTTTCCTCTTCCATGGACTAGGGAGGGCGGCCGAACGCCACTTCCCGCGTGGCCGTCGCCAGGGTCAGTCTGTTCAAGCCGCAACCAACCACAGGCCTCGGGGCCGCGCCGCTGGTACCGATCCCTCGACATCCCCGTGGTCCCCCTTCTTCCGCTCGCGGGGCGCTTTTAAAGCCTTGCCATCTTCCGTCGCCGATTGGCAGATGTCCAAAATGAAACGAAGCCTCTCCCGAAGGGACACTTGGGGGCCCAAAAGCCATGCCAGTTCCCCCGGTGTTTCTCAAAACAGGGACATCTTCGGCTCAGTTGGTCCTTCTCGACTTCTATTGGTCACCCTTGAAGAGCCTTAATCTTTCTTTTTTGCCAAACTACATGTACTATGCACGTTTGTCAAGCCAGCCACAGGTGTCTGCGCTCCGCTTATGCGCCCGCCTCATCTCGGAATATTGGCCGTGCCAACCGCGAATCCGCGATTGACAAACCGGACGGGCCGTGATCAGAGCGCTAGGGGGCACCAGCGTCCAAGATATTGGAGCCACCGAGGATGTGGAAGTGTGTCCCGCGGCGGACCATGTCTCAGAGGAGCACGCTTCCTCCGTCCATCACTCCTACACCGCGTGGTGCACCCATTCTCGTGGGCTTGGGGCACGGTCTTCGAGGTGAGTAGCGGGGACGTACATGTGCCATCTGATATTCTAGACCGGACCACCCAAGTCCGATTTGCCTTGCCCTGTGCAACACTAGACGACGGAGAGAGCACAGGGGGTAAGCATATATGAACCAGACTACCATCCACCCTCCTTGGGACCTCCGTTCTCTGCTGAAGATTGGACGCAGCTCTGAGACTCGGGGACTCTTGTCATTAAACAGGAAAGAAAAAAGGGACAACTCTCCTCCCCGTAGCCCACCGGGCGGCGGTGACTACAGCACAGTACCACTACGACTTGGAAGACGTAAGTCTAGATTCGACATGCGGGTTGCTCCCGCCGCTGAGGTGGCTCTTCTTTGTTCCAAGGGCTGGGCAGAGGAGAACCCTTGGTCCTTGGCCAACGCGGCACGCATAGTTCAATGTTACATCTGCAGGCTCACACTTGGCCTTTTTCCTATTGTATATATACAGCAAGTCCCATGATGAATGCTTCCCGTTCTGTCCTCATGGTCCTTCAACCCGCTCCTCGTGCGCCCTTCCCCCCGACGACAACATCCACCATCGTGATCTTGTGCCTCTCCCCGAGACATGCCTTTCCTTTTCGAATAGCCACAGTCTCTCTCTCTCTTCTCTCTTATAAACCTTCTTCGTCACAGTCCTTTCAGTTTCACTTGGGATAAGTAGTCTGCTTCAAACTCTATTCACTCCTTGAAGCCATCTTTGCAAGACCAGACATCCAGAACACCAACCACGGTTCCTTAGCTCCTAGAGCTTTGCATCATCGCAATAATGTACTCAAACTCCATCCTCTCAACCCTCCTTCTCCTCCTCCCAGCCGCCACTCGGGCCTGGGACTCTCCAAACTACTCTGGCCTTACCCGCCTCTGGCAAGACAGCTTCCCCGGCGCTTCAGGCGACCCGATTAACGGCGGCAACTGGAACATCATCACCAACCTTCACGTCAACAACGAGATCCAGGAATACACGACCTCCCGCTCCAACCTCCAAATCTCAGGCGGCGGAACCGTCCAAATCGTGCCCCAAAAGGACGGCAACGGCGCCTGGACCTCGGGCCGCATCGAGTCCCGCTACGTCTTCACCCCCGCCGCCGGCCGCCTCACCGTCGCCGAGGCCCAGATCCGCTTCGGCGACAACGCCATCGCCAACAAGAAGGGCATCTGGCCCGCCTTTTGGATTCTCGGCGACGCCATCCGCAACGGCGTCAGCTGGCCTCGTTGCGGCGAGCTCGACATCCTCGAGACGGTCAACGGGCAGCTGACGGGGTACGGGACCGTCCACTGCGATATCCTTCCCGGCGGCGCGTGTAACGAGCCCAACGGTATCGGCGGTAACATTGGCATCCCGGATCAGGGATGGCACACTTGGCGTCTGCAGATTGATCGTCGGTCTGGCAACTGGCAGACGGAGACGATTACGTGGTTCCGTGACGGGCAGCAGTTTCATCAGATCAGCGGCGCCAGGATCGGGAGCGAGGGTATCTGGAACACGTTGGCTCGCGCGCCGTTGTTCTTTATCTTGAATGTCGCCGTCGGCGGTAACTGGGTATGTCGATTCCGTTACAAAGGCTTGTTGGCGATGGTTTGACTGACTGCTTACAGCCCGGAAACCCGGATGGCTCTACCATTGGCGGCTGGGGAAGCATGATGGAGACCGCCTATGTTGCCGTCTACCAGTCCACTTAATCTTGCTCCTCATTAACCTAATCGGGCTCTTGAGCTTGTGTTAAACCTCGTCTTGTTGCTGCTCTTGCAACTACGCCGTTCGCTGTACATATGCCAGCATCATACTTAGATACCCATTGTCCACTTTATAGTATATGCACACAACCACGCTCGCTAGATAATTGCCATAAATAATCTCACCGTCAAGATACATTACAAGCTCACTTGCTTAACTAGTCCAATGCTTCTGAATGCTTTGTTATGTAGTATTCATGGCTCATATTAATTACTCCTGACTTTCTTTAACAGCCCGTAGGTACCTGACCCAAGTACAACGATACAGGCGTCCGTGCTCCAAGAAATGGCCTCTACTCATAAAACACCAAGCATCTAACCTCTATGCTTTGTCTTCCCTTCGCATCTGCGGGGGTGTTGGGGTCAATGAAGGCCGTGTGAGGCGTGTAATCGGCCCGTCCCGGCTTGCCGCCAGGCCGCCCTTGGCTTCTCGAGTCGAAGCACTTGATGAACATGGCTTCGTCAGGGGTCATATCTTTGGCGTAATACAGCTTGTGCTTGTCGCTTGGTGCGACAGAGAAAGTCTCGCCTGCATTGATGTTAGCGAAATGAACGTGCTTGGAATTCTACTACGGTGAGGGACACACTCACCCTTGACATCGTAATTTTGCGTCGACCGCGCCAAAGCCGGGTCCGGAAGCACCTCCTTGCCCCGATCATCGTCATCGGTATCCGTCCTCCTAGGGTACAAGAGATCCACAGCGATCAGATCCTTGGGCTCCGTAGTCCGCCAGTCAATCACCGCAAGCGGGAAGTCACTCGCTGGGTGTCCGATCGGTCTCCAGACATTGATAATCTGGTACCGTCCATTGACCAGCTCATCCGCCTCAGCTCCCGGAACATGCCTCCTCACACGCGCTTCCGCCGCGCCGGGCGTCTGGTCGACATGCACCTGCTGTACAGGCTGTCTAGGGCTGCTCTTCTCCCTCCTCCGGATGGTGTGGTCAAAAATCACAACTTTCTTCACACCGGGCAACTTCTCCCTCAGAAGTGCCTCCACTTCGGCATAGTAGCCGCTTCGCACTGCCTCATCGTCGATGAAGTCCTTCTCCTTAGCGGGTGAGTTGTACACGGCGAAGCCGGAGACGTCGGTGCCGAACTCTTCCGTCGACTCGCGGATGTTCACCACTGAGCGGCGGCGCTCGAGCCGGCTAAAAGAGGTTACGTCTGTATCGACCTTTGCCCAGGGCTTGCTGCCCTCCAGAGTCGCGGGGTCTAGATAGCGGAAGTTGCCGGTAGTCATTGTTGCGAGGGGTCTAGTGTGGATGATGCGGGGAATATTGTTGGTTCTGAGACTGGTTTTGATTGATGATGTGAGTATTGAAGTTCGTCGTAGGATTGTGCTCATAATAGTACCTTATATTCACGTCAAATGCAGGGCTGATGTTGAATTACACAATGCCGTGCGGGGGTCAGGAGACGGGAGTTTAAAAGGAGGACTCGTAGGGCGTAACAGGGCGTGCGAATGAGACGACTGGATGATTGCATCACCATGAACCCGGGGGAGTGGCCATTAGTCATTCAGGATTTCTAAGCTGTTTCTCGCAGTGTCCGAGACCCACTCCCGGGCTCGGCATCGATTGTGGGGCCTATTGATTTCCAATCGCCGACATTCCGCGATCCGAATTGCTGCCGTCCCGAAATGCATGCGTCAATCCCGCGGGGTATGCACCGCTCGGCGGCGGGAGAGTCAGCTTCACGGGGTTTAGATCAAATGCCCGACCGCCCAGTACACCACCAGCGGCATTCTGATCTATTCACTAAACAGTGCTTACTCCAAAGTGAACAAGCCGTTGATTTTGACTCAATACTTCGCGACCATAGCGAGACTTGTAAGTGTGTTAGATAATATGCATGCATGGTCGTAGTAGTCGTTATCGGCAAATACTTTCACCTATGACTTATACATGACCAGGTAATTCAGTGAATCCAGTCGGGTAAGTTAAGTGTAAGTTATCTAGAAAAGGCATGGATAGACAATAAGACATAAAGTGGTTTCTACCGCGAAAAACAAAAGTTAAGCCGTTTGAGACACATCTTGCTAATTTCCGAAACCGAGAATCGAACTCGGGGCTATGCCTAACCTCTCACAAGATGAGAGGGCATCATGTTGGCCACTACACCATATCGGATGTTGATGCAAAATTCTGCAGGTATCCAGCTCATACCCAGTTGCCGTTGTGCGTATCCACAGCGGAGACGCAGCCATTGTGACTACCCTAACGGCTCCGCAAGGTTTGGATACACGAAGTCGCGATCGATGCAATTCAATTACACTACCTAAGTGTTCCATGTCACAAAGGGCTGGCGAAGACGTCTTATGACTACTTATGAAAGTTGGCAATGCACCAAAGGAATTCATTGTACTATGTGCAGGTACTCGATGCTACCGGAACCAAACTAAGGACATAGAGTCGAAACTCCTTCACCGACCAAGTTTAAGTGGCTTCAAAAGAGAATGTTTCGTATCATATGCTTGATCCAGTCTTGCATCTCAATATGCCACAGACCATTTCACGTGCCTCCAAGCCTCTCGCCTACTGATTCTGACTCTTGAGTCTGGTCCGGGCTTCGGCCTCCCTATGCCAGTCGTTGCCCAAGGGACTTGAGCTTTTGGGACCCTAACGGGCCCGCCGTCAGTACCTTCTAAATCAATACCGAGTATCATTTGCGCAGCAATGCCAAGAAGAAGTCCGTTTGCAAGGTGGCGGCCAGGGCTTTCACAAAGATGCACGGTCAGTGTAAATCATCAAACCAGGGAGAATCAATTCACGTATCAGACATGTTTGCCCCCTCCAAAAGGAAGGAAACCAGGCGGTGATGATGCATTGTAACCCAAATCCAGAAACCTGTCACCTTGCCAGCTTTCAGGGTTGTCGCCCCATACTTTTTTATCACTATGTAGAACGCTAAGCGGCATCTGGATATTGTTCCCTTTCTTGAGGAGGTACGAGCGGCCGTCGTCCGATATCGTCGTGTCTGTCATTACCGTTCGTGTGATGTTATCGACAATATTGTGTCGCTCCGTCTCTTGCGCAGAAGACAGGAGTAGTGGACAGTGCTCTTTGATTTTCCTCAGGTGAAGTGTCATCTCGATATGGTCTTGATCAGTTCGCTTCTCGGTAACCGCGGCATTGAGAAGCTCGGTCCGAATACTGGCCAAAAGGTCTGGCTGGCTGTAAATATTCGAAAGAAGCCAGAAGACGAGCGTGGAGATGTTGGCGAGAGCGGTGGCTAGGAGAATCTCAATCTTGGCGCTGTTGTGGATCGACATTCCGAACTTTCGTTCTGCACCGAATCTGTCCTTGGTGAATTGAGGAACTTCGACGCCAAAATCCTCCTCACGCTTGATGTACGCTTCCAAGGCTTCAATAACCTCCGTTCTTGCTTTGAATGCTTTGGACGCGATGACAGAGGGGGCAAACCCAGGGAAGAGTCTGTGCATGTCATCGTGATAGATCCTGGGTGTTGAGAATTAGCCTAGTTTCAATCATGGTAGACGCGCCTGTAGCGTGGCGAGACCGGGACAGATAAAAGGATGCGATGTAGTTACCAGGAACTCTGCATGACTCCGCTGTTCTCCCAAGGGCTCAACTTCCCGTAGAAGCCTCTCATGACGGCCCTCGACACTGTCTCACGAGTCCAGCAGTAGAAGTCTTTTGGCTCAAGCTGGTCAAAGGGTATTTCGTCAAGAGAGGTGGCTAAATTGCTGACCCCTGATCTGGTAAGATCAATCAACGAAGGTCCGGCCAGTCCTTTGTAGAGAACCTTAAAGATGGCGGTACGAAACTCCGGGTTCGTCCACAAATCCATCCCTTGGCCCTCCATGCCTACCAAAGTGCGAACAAAGGTGTCAATCAGGGGTTCGAAACTAAGAGTCCGCTTCTGGAATATGGACGATGCCAGTTGTGGTGAAGATGCCACGTAAAGCTTGCTTCCAAGGATGGGCAACGAGTATGCCGTCATATTGAATTTCTCGCTAGTATCGTATCAGCTTACAATGAAGTTGCACCATGATTGCCCGTCCGACTCCATCATCCCGTAAACGTTCAAGCAGGATGGCTCGGGACTTACTGATTCTTGACATGTTGCTTGTAACCCATCTGGATTAGATCAATCAAATGACCAATGAAAGGTATTTTTGGTTGTAGGGCCGGAGGCTCCTGCGAGTCTGGAACTTTTGGCCAGACACTACGAACAAGAAATATGACTAGGCAACAGGCCAAAGGAAACCATATCACTTGGGCTTCGTCCAATGTGCTTGTTATCATTTTGAAAGGGCTTCTTTCTGCAATTCTGGCTCCTAAAATTTGGTTGTAGGTTTTAGACACTAGGCGCCTCGGAGCAACTCAAACATTCCCTTCCTTCATTTTATGCTATTTTTCGGACTTAAAGACGCAAGCAGCATCTAATTTCTTTATTATCAGCTGCACAACACTTGCAGTTAACTCCGCCACATTTAGCCATGGATGCATTATCGTAACGGTCTCGCGTCTTGATTTGGATCCAAACTCCTCCTGGAAACGTGTGTCGAGCTGCGGCGCTAACGTACAGTAAGCAATATTGTCGTGAAAAACTACAACCACCAATCAAATGGGTGTCTGACTTGCAGATGATTTGAGCTGAAAACCACTTCGGTACTAGCACAGTGAAATAATAGACGTGCAGCATGACAGACGTAAGATTATGTGGTGAGCTTTTAGTGCAAATATCAAGATGACTTTTACCGTGGTCAAGATAAGTGATGTCTCGGTTTACAATAGAGGGCCCTTGGCTCTGGGGTGTTGCTGACAACGTCGGCCAGGCTTACACCGCTTGTCAGTTGTGTCACGTATTTGAGACCTTGAGGGCATGTCCAGCGGTCCGCGTGTAAGTCTTTGAAAGAATTTCAAATGCTTCAAATTGAAATTAATTGCCCCTTGAGTTTTCGGTTCATGCGATCACAAGACCCGAGCAAGTATTGTTTCCCACTCGTGGTTTGGTCAAGTTGGGGTTCATTAAGGAGGGACAAAGAATCAGGACAATCTTCAACTAAAAGCACCTTATCTACCTCAGAAGAAAGAGAAACCAATGAAATATTGCAAAACAAGAAGGAATCGATCCATTCCCTGTCAAAGATGAGGATCAAAGGCAAAGATGGCAAAAGGATGACCAACGTGGGGCTCGAACCCACAACCCCCAGATAACCGCAACTCTTGAGAGAAGAGAAGATAGAAGTCTGATGCGCTACCATTGCGCCAGCCGGCCAGTTGCTTTGATGACGCTTTCCTGGCGGCTGTACGTTCATAGACCCCGCTTCAGAAGGGCCCCAGACAATTAGCGCTTCCTGACTCCCCTTGCCCGCAGTGGCACACATCAGAGCAAAACCCAAATTTTCACGATCTCGTACGTCGTTCGCCCGCTAGTGGACTTATGACGTAACGATTCTCTACCAGGATCAACGTTGCATCTGCTTTTTGAGTGTTTGCATGCAATTTCTCCTTTCTTTCGGCGTCCCGCACACAAAACAAGCCAACGAAAAACCCAAAATTCAGAGACCCCCAGTGGCGATCCATCGGGGAATGGGGTCTGCCGCTGTTGGAGAAAAAACTCACAGAAAGTGTTGGAGCTAGCGATGGGGCAAGCGGGTTCGATGTGGGCATCGCTTCATGACAAACTTCAAGAGTGAATGAGACAGAAAATTCTTCAGCAAAATCGTTCTCCCCAGACAGTTCCAACTTCCAGGGAATATGAAGCGAGCATGATAGCCTGTGTAGCATGCATGAACGAAGAAACTGTACAGAGCCTCCACTCTTCCGTCTTACACGGAAGTAAGTAGACAGAAACCCTGCCACCTGCTCATGAGAAGTTGATAACCAAAACGAAATGATCTGAGGTTCGGAGCTCCACCACACGCGCCGATGTTCAAATTCGTGCCGCCGGCTAGATGGAAGCACGCCGAGCACGCCTTGGACCTGCCCTTTTGCTCTTCGCCTTGGAGCTGCCCGAAACTCGTTGCCTCCTAGGCTCAGCATCCAGCCAGGCCGCCTGCGGGCAAGTCATCCCGCCTCCCGGGAGCGCCTCCGGCAAGTCCCCATCAATCACGTAAGAAAAACCACCTCTTCCGTCGTCCGCAACTTGCCTCTGCCACCCCGGGGGGCGCTCTCCAACACGCCCCTCCACCCTCTACCCCCTTTGAACCCGGCTGTCACCGATCCCGAGCAAAAGCCCTGGAGCGCGGTCTCTCAGGCTCTCCCCCTCCTCTGCCACGGCTCCTTTCGCATCTTCGCACCCTGCGAGATGCCCTGTGAACCATCCCAAAACGGGCCGGCTCCGATGTTCGCATACCGTCCCTCTGACACGGCTCTCGCATGACTTTCGGTCTGGCTTGACTCATAGAAAACGCCCCAAACCACCACTGAGCCCGCCTCCTGCCCCTGCCTACCGGATTGCCATCCGAAGGCGCGTGGGCGGGCTGGCCACCACACACCCGGCCCGGTGCGCCGGTTACACATCATCCCCCTTCTCCTGCACCCAACACCGGCTACACATCATGCTGCGCACGGCAAACCGACCACCGCCCACCGTCCGCCAGGGGGCGCTTAAGAGCCCCTCCGCACACCGCACTATCGTGAGATAACCTTGGAAGTTGAATCATCCATTTCGAGACTATAATCGCGCCATACAAACCACGGGGCGGAAGCGAGCTGCCCTTTCGAGCGACGTGACATAGCTGCTTCCGGGTAAACATGCCGAGCAGGGAATTACTTTCCGTTTCAACTGCCTACGTAGTAGTCCTATGCGTGATGTCCAAGTGAGCAAGTTTAGGAAACTCACAGCAACGCATTAATAACTCGGCAACTCAACTCTATAGAGCGTATGCCGCAAACTCACGATACTCTCATCTCACCGGTACTCAATGTCCCGAAAAGACCACTCACTAGACTACTCCAAAGCTCAGATCAACCGCTCGCCAAGGATATTCGCCGTTTGTCGGCGGGCGTTCTAGACTCTCTTGAATCTCAGAATTCCGTCCCAAAATTTCTCCAATTTTCACCCCAACGCACCCAACTAGTAGTTTTCGTCAAGTAATTGTTTCCTAAGATCAACTGAATGGCTGGAAGCTCGGGGCATTCCCGTCCCAAAAAACCTTGCAGTTACAGCAGGTCTTGCAGCATCCGCAGCGGGTAAACGCAATGCGAGAACAAAACTAGCAGACAGAAAACGTGGGATGAGCCGCAAGGTAGTGTACACATCGGACAAGTACCTGCCAATAGCCTACAATTATCAAGGGTCGTGACTCGAAAGGGATTTCACATGTTACCATCCCGCGCACCGTGGGTCGCATAGTCTGTGGTTTCGTTGCGGAGGGGCAAATTCTGTTTGAAGTTGTCTCTATGTTCACTGAGTAGTAATACTGCCGCACAATTTCCTGTTGAAGCGCACTCAAGGCATGAAGTTCAACTAAGTTATTCTTAAAGTCAGTCCCAACAAGTCACATTGAAAGATCGAGAGGAAGTGCAAAGTAATTTTGTAGTGATTTGTATAATTAATTCTTGCTTCAATTGTATGTTTCGTCGTTGAGCTAGCTACTGAGAAGCCATGTGACGGGAACCTTGGCATCATCGATCATGCGCCTCTTCCATCAGCTCTGTTCAAAGTCCCCGTAAAACGCCTCGCAATGCAAAACACTTCCTCATGGTCATTTCACTCAATACCATGCATCTCTTCAAAAATTCACTGTTAAAAATCCAACTGAGTTGTGACACTGTCTTTCCCGCCAAAAAAGAGTTATAATCCTATAAGAAAACAAGCGCCTAGTTCGGAAACCAGGGGGTATAATGCGGTTGAAAAAAAGCAGATCCTAAATCCAATAACTTTTTGTTTTCCTTCTCATCCCGTCTCTTGAATTATTGTACGTGATTTTTTTGTGTTGTGTTGATTAATTATTTTTCATGACTCTCCTTCTCTAATGGTGGTGGTGTCATGACGTGGTGGATCCGCCGGTAACGGATCCCTCCCGGCTATGTGCCAGTCCGTTGTGCGCTTGGCCGTCAAGGTGCTCAAGGCTCATGTAGTCGACGGGAGCCGCTTCGTCGGGGTACGCGGGCGGCGAGGGGGGAACGTCCTGGTAAACGGGCGGCGCCTCGTTATCCCAGCTGACGCCGAGACCGGGGCACTCGGTGAGCATCACGTGGTAGTGCATCCTCAAGATGCGTCCGGTGCCCGTCTGCGTCGCGAGGTGGGGCTTACCAACAGGCGCCCATTCCTTGGAGACAACCATCTCGATCATGAGTGCGTGGGAGACTTCGGTGCCGTCGCTCGACTTCATGTCGCAGGCGTATCGCGGGCCGTGGCTGTGCTTGCTGGCGACGACGCCGTAGTCGAACTCGAACTCGACGTGGCCGTCGGTGCTGGTGTAGTCGGACTTCCAGCCGTCGTGCATGTACTTCTCGCCGAGGACGCGGGTCTCGGTGCGGGCCACGCCCTTCTGCTGAGGCTGGGTGTTGTTGTTGGCGTTGCCGGGGACCGGGGCGTGCTTCTCGCAGGCGGGGGCCACGGTCTTGATGGTCTCCTCGAGCTTCCACGTAACCTTCTTGAGCTTCCAGAACTCGACCGTCTTGTTGGTGGCGTTTGCGCTGGTGAGGCCGTCGAGGCGGAACGAGACGTTGTGAGTGCCGGCCGGGTGGATCACCTGGTTGTAGTGGGCGCTGGCCTTGATGTTGGTGGGAGGGAAAACGCGGACAGAGTGATGCGGGAACTCGGGTTGAGGGAGGGAGCGCTTGACGTCAAAGTTCTGCTCGAACTTGATGGGCGTCTGCGAACCGGGTGTGCCCTTGACGAGGATGGCCTCGGCCTTGAACTCGTAGGCAATGGAGGTGATGGGCGTGTCCATGGACGCGGGGAGGTGGCCCTCGAGGAGGATGGAGAAGGGGAACTGGTGAATGCCCTTCTTAAGCGTCGTGGGGTGCGTGAGGAACGTCCAGCGCTTCAGCTCGGTGAACTGGTTGGTGCACTCGCCACAGTGGTTGGTGAAAGGGCGCTTCTGCTGGACGTGGATGTTGAGCTTGGCGCCAAAGGTCTCGATCTGGAGCTGCTCGTCCTTGACCTCAAGTTGCATCTGACCCGAGACGAGGGCACCGGTAGAGGACTCTGCATCTCCGAAGAAAACGATAGGCGGGCTCTCGATCTTCAGGTCGAGGCCTGCGTGGGAGTTGTCGTGTGAGTCCTTGTTGGAGCGGCCAAAAGGCAGAGAGAGGCGGTGGTGGTGGTGCTTCTTCTCTTTGAGGTGGTCTGCGGGGTCTGCTGCGAACATGTTGTGGTAAGGGATGTGCTCGCCGTCATCGGAGGAGTAGGAAGAGTGGCGGTCGAGAGGGACTCTGCGCAACAAGCCTTCGTCCTGGATGTTGTTGTGACGGGGTTGATGATGTTGCTGATTTTGCTTGGTCTTAGTCTTGAGGTTTGCAATGGCAGAAACACTGAAGTTCTCAGTGGAATTCCGCAGGAAGTTTGCTACGCGGTGGGGCATGATTGGGTGCGGTTGTGTGGTGCGTTCCCCGGATTTCGAGGGCTTGCTGAATCTTGGAAATGTTCGGTTGCGGCCCTCAAGTCTTCTTTTGTAAATCTTGGCTGGCTAAGATGGGCCAACAAGATGGACAGGGGTTAAAGGGGGGGCGGATGAACCGCAAAATAAGGGAGGTGGTGTGACGTTTCTAGGGCGTAGGTTCGTCCAAGAGGATAATGGGTTCCGTCAGAAATTTTTGGAAGCCCAAAAAGGACAAAAAGAGTCGATTCGCCGGATCCCGAAGGATAGGCGAGGTAGATGCGGGCGCGCGCAGGTTCTTTTGGGTGGGCGTGTGGTGGTAAGGGTGTAAGGCGCGAGGCCGAGGGCGAGCGGCGGTGTGTGTAGTGTAAGTGCGTTGATGAGCTGATGGACGGAATGCGGCAGGTCTGCTGATGTTCCCTGACTGACTGATGAGTGATGTATGGTATGGGTCTGATGGGCAGACCAAGATGTGTCCGGGGGCCCTTTTCTCTTTGTACTTGAACAGAGACTTAAAAAAGTGAGAAAAGAGAAGAGTGTGGAGCGCGATGACTTGTTTTCTACTGCTATTCTCGAATCCTTGCAAGCAAAGGTCCAGGTGATGTGGGTGGTAGGAGCACAAGGTCTGATTCTCGTTCTGTCCTTTGCCCGTTTTGGTTTTTCTTTCTTTATGGCGTCGAACAGCCAAGAACGAAGCTTGTTTGGGCTGGGTTGCGGTGGTGGTGGACGTGATCTACTTCCGCTATGCGCGCTGAGAGGAAGAAAGATGGGATAAAAGCGACCAAAGCGATGGATGGTGGTGAGGTGCGGGGTGTTGCAGAGCAGATGATGATGTCGACCCTTTTCGTTCTCCCGTTCGCAACAGGCGTTGAAGACTTTAAAGAGAAAACCAAGTGTTTTGGAATCTCGGGTTGATCGAAGTCGTGATCGTAAAGTGGAGGGGTATGGGAGATGAACAAACGCAGACTTTTTGCGACTGCGATGACTCCTTCTCTTGTGAATTTCCCCTTTCGGTTTTCCCGTTCCTTCGTGTAAGTCGTTTGTCGACCGGGGTAGTAGGTAGGGCGCAAGAAAAGTGTGCTAATGTGGGATGGATGCAGCTGCAGCGTTGCGCTTAACGGCGGGCTTTTCGGGTGAGATGAGATGCGGAGTGCGGAGGAGGCAAAAGTGGCCGGGGTTCTCCAGAAAGACAAGAGTTCTTTTCGGCTTCTCGAACGAAGGGTATCGTGAGGTTATCGTCAAATTGGGGTTGTCAACGAGGAAAGATCAGGAGAAAAGTAGGTCACGGTGGTAGTAGACTCTTGTAATATCAGCCTCTTATTACGCAAGACGTGAAGCAGGACCGTCGCGTTATTATGTCTTGCCAGCTCGTGATGGTCAAGCTTTTCATAGGGTAATTATGTGTCATGAGTTGGAAGGGTACCTGGCGACACATGCTCCGCTCCAGCGTTTTGACACGGCCCAGCCAGCGCGGCATCGTGTACATCAGCTCTTCATCAGACACCCACATGGGAACTGTGACTGACAGAGACGCAGTACTGTTACTGGGAGTGGACGTGGATCCATCACAGAGGTGTGTGAATCAACCAAGGATGGGAAGAAAGAAAAAAAAGTGTGAAAAAAAGAGCCTGGACCATCTCCACCGGATGGGTCCATTGCGCGAAGTACCTGCTCCAATTTGTTCCAAGCGCAGCTGTACATTGCGCCAACGGACACTTCTCGAACATGACCAACGCCAACCAGTGACTGAGCCCACCAGCTCCCTTCGACTGGCTGAGAAGGACGGATGCTGGCCCGAGCTGGTTCATTGTTGCAACTTTTGCAAGGCATGGCGTTGCCTGCCGTGGCATGGGTCGAGTTCCTTGGTGGCCGCCTGACCGTGCGCCTGGCTCCAGGACTCGCAACCACTCTCTTACGTCCTGAGCCATGACACTGAGAAATGGTCCCGGCGGGCCCACGTGTAGGTACGTAGGGCATCCGTAACTTGTATGCTATTCCTAGGAACCAACATCGAGTTGAGGGCCATCCACCGCAACAGGCGGCGCTGCTTAGGAGAGAGATGCCACCGCCTGATCGCGGTCCTGTAGCGCGGCGGTCAGGTAAACTCGGTACGTATATCTCATCCCGGAGCACCATCGCCGGAACCTGGGAAGAGAGCCACCAAAGAGCCAAGACAAGCTGGACAAGAGACAGCTTGTCAGGTACTTGTAATTGTGGTACTGTACACTCTGTACCTGACCGCTACAGGGAACAGCCAGCCTCAGCTTACATTCTTCCTCTCGCCGCCATCACGATTTGCGAACCCTTGAGGTCGTGTCCGGTAGTCCACAATGGCGCAAGGCCAGGGGCACGGCGTCGTACTGGATGATGCAACGGAGGGGAAGCCAATTATTCCTGCGTCCACAAGCCAGACACGTGTAGCAGCAGTAGCAGAAAGAGGAAACAAACGCAATGGAGACAAAGGGGTTCGCAGTTACAGCTAGTTACAGGCTTACAGCACACCAGCTACTGTGTGGATGGCATCATGTTGGTGCGACCGTTCGCAACAGAGCCGGTCACGGCTCATGGAGCCGCTTACCATCCAGGTGTTTCCAGCGCATCGCAGTAATAACGCAAGACGGGAGGATGATGCCAGCATCTCCCAGATTGATGCCAGAGAGCAGATCGGGCGGCACCTTAAACTTAGCACTGACCCGACTAGGTTGTAGCCGCCGCCAGCATAGTCCTGGGAAATGGCACCATTGGCCAAGGGCATGAGGAAACCAGCAGAACCAAACCGCATCCTCCTCCCTCACAGGTGCAGTCGCACAATGCCATGTGGTACGATTTTCTCTTGTTGCCCAGGAATCGCGCTGCGGGGTCCCTCGACCTCTTTACCAAGAACCGGAGCTCTCCATGAAGTGCGGTCGTGCGAGATGACATTGCAGGTGACTTGGTCGATAAGGCCATCACAATGCACCTGTCGGCAGAAGCAAGCTGAAAACCTGATGGTCTCCGGTTCTCTCTGGGGAAGGTTTCCACGGCCCACGGGGCATCTGCCCCGGGTGCCCAGCCGGTGACATATCGTGAGATCCAGAAACCGGCCACAACGACGACAGGCAGACGTGGCCGATGAACGGGTAAGTACTTGATTGTGCCAAGGGAATCGGCCTACCAGCCTATTTCTCTCATCGCAATGCGATTGTACGATGGCATCAGTCATTAGCGCCATCTGCTCGTTCTCAAACTGACACGCATAGTGGCGTTGGGGCGTGGAACACGTATTCAACGCCGGTGTAAGTCGAGTTCAGCAAGTGGCAAGCAGCCTAGAAGTCTGCACTCTATTTCCAGAATCAACACAAACGTAAGCAGTTCATGCTGAGGCGCAACGAGCGACGAAGAATTGAGCGCCCAAACAGCGAAGCTTCTCGTCACATCTCGTAAACCAGTCAACGGCATCACCGTCAACCATACATCACCGCCACAGCATCGCAGTTGAAACCTCGTGTTGCACCTCTGCTCCGAGACAAAAATCGATCTAAGATCCCTATTCGATCGTACCACCGGATCTGCAGTCCGGACCAAGCCGCAATGGAAAAGGGTCGAGAATGTCAACCCGACCGTCCGACCGGCCGATCGGGGTACATCTCACAGTCTCTCAGCCTCTCCCATTGCTTGCGGTCAGCGCTCTTGAGGCTCTGGACTATGACTGTTCATAAAGGTTTGCTTGACCGACGGAGCGCACTGTCACCGTCTTTCTCTCTGTTCCGATACTCAGCAGTGAGCCGCGCGATTCCCCACCATCACCACCATCAGCCATCCTCAAAAGTGCCCTTCCGTCCCCGTAACGGAATGACATCCCGTAGACTCAGTTGACCTATTCCTAAACCGAGAGGAAGGGGTGCGGTCCGGTGCCGAGCGGGAAGAAGTCCATCCATTGCCTGTCCGCAAAGGTTGTCATTTAGCCGCGTTGACCTGCCAAGCAACCCCAACCCATCGTCTTTTTTCCAAAATGGAGCCGCCATCGTGAAGTTTTTTTTTCTTCAGTCTGCTCGATTGCGTGCGAATGTCATTCCTGGCTAGGAAAACGTGCTTCTAGACTTGGCCTAGGATCGTGAATGGAAACGAACCGCAAGCCACAATTCCCACTCGAGGGAAACAAAAACGGAGAAAATGGGGACGGGAAGCAGGGGTAGAATATCCACTTCCAAGGACACTGGGCCACTCATGAAGTTTCTCTTACGTATAACCGGAGTCACCTGCCCATCCATTTTCGACGTTTTTCTTTCTTCACTCTGCGTGTCTGCTTCCACCCAGGCGCAGAATCCTTTTTGACATTTTCAGTCTCGTTCGACAAACTCGAAGAGCATGTCTCCAACGAGCAAGGAGTCAAGGAACCCCCCTCCCCTCCCACAAGCGGCTACAGCATACCCAGTGAGGCTAGCTTCCGTATATGTGCCCTTGACGCTTGGGCGCTCACTTCTCTGTCCCCTTTCGGACAAGAAAAACAGAGCTCCAAGGGGTTGGAGCACTCCATAGCCTCATGCCGGTGGCTGCTGGCATTCACACTTGATTCCATCGTGATATCTCCAAAAGAGAACGAAGCCGCAGCAAGGAGCTAGCTGAAAAATTCTTCTCAACCCCGTGGGCAGAAAGATTCCTACCATCGCTCTCAAGCCACCCCGGCTGGTGCAGGCATTAATATCCACTTGATTTCCACACATGTCACTACTACGGCTGCAGACTGGATGGAGCTTGAAGCTGGAGAATTTGCTCCATCTGACTCTTCCAACATTGCCCATGGGAAAGTCTTGATGTACAAGATCCGCACGCTCTGGGCAGTAAGAGACCAGAGACGGATGACCTCAGCTCAGAGAAACGAGATGGAACACTTCCATCGCGATCCAGAGCGGTCGTCCAGACCCACGACTCTGACCACCATTCCCAACTTGGGCAAAGGACCACAGTTCCTGCAGCCCTGCTACAGATGTGGATATCTAGTAGTAAATGCGCGGTTGTAGCCCAGCATAAATTTTCTTGTGGACGGGTACATCGAGCCAGGAGGTCGCCAGCATGATGTCAACAATGAACTCACGAATATTGTTCCTGAGTTGCTATGGAGTATTTCCCACTCATTACCATGGTTTTCATGTGAAGTTTTCTCCATGAGCGTGTTTCGAGATCGCCCAGCTCCGCTGTTTAATGTTTTCCATGATGCTCATCTCCTCTATAAGAGGAATTAACTCCTCATACGCCAACAGGCGTCATCCAACGCCGAGGTGACATTCAGGGGAAGAATGTTTCCGTCGAGTCACCACCGATTCACCGCTAGCCGGCGGTCCTCATCGGTGACCGTCGCCTCCAATGCCCAAAAACCGAGCAGGACATTTCTCACCCCCTCCCTAGCTTAGCCCCCGGTGACCCCTTGCGCCTCAGGGTCCTTCTCGGTGATCCGGGAACCATCCCGAACCCCTCCAACCCCCCACCTCATCGCGCTCGCCGACTTCGCTCGAGGGGAGTCATACTGTCATATCGTAGTGCTCTTGGCCGGCATTCTGTTCTATTTGCCGGTCACATCGTGACATTTCCCCCAATTTCGCTTCACTTTCTGTCCATTCCTGATTCAATAAGATGGCGCAAACTATCCCGCAACAGAAATCCTTTTGCCCATCCTCCCCGATACCGGCGCCACGCCCGCTCCCGGCTCCCACAGCGACAGCGCAGGCGGGACTGGTACGGACGCGGCCAGGCCGGTGTGATCTCACGGACTGTGTTAGAAGGCTACCAGAACAGCCAAAGCCACATGCATCCTCAAGGGCAAAGAGCCCCTCACAGACTCGTGGTAGGATCCCTGGAGAGTCATTCGTCCCAAGGTTTCTGTTAGTAGGGACGGCAACAATCAACGGCAACGGTGAAAGACAGCGCAGCCACGCTTCTAATTCTTGAAACATTGCGACGAGCGCAAGTCTGAACTTGTCAATTGGTTTTCCTAGAAAATCTTAAATGAGCTGACTCGAGCGTCACCCGAGTCCGTCGTCAAACACGCCAACGGGCGCGGCAAGTCAAATTTGTACAGCAAGGTTTATACCCGTGCCTGTTCTCACACGTGAGCCTCGAATGTTCTTTCTTCCTGCGCGTGCAACCCTCAAGACAGTGAAGACACCGAGCTTGAGTTCTCGAGCCAAGAGTTCGTTGTGTGTTGCTCTCAGATCATTTCGTCTTCGCAATCTGTCGATAATTGCTGCAATGCGACAATGAACTTGGGCACCCCATCCCATTTTCCCAGGAGAAAACGAGGTCACGGCTAGGCCGCCATTGGCCAACTCTAAGCAATCATTAGACACAATCCCTTGTGTTCGCCGTGCCTCTATTCACGTCCCTGAGCCCTGGGCAGAGGAAACAGAAACAGACAGTCACGAACACGAGCGGCAGGCTCGAAGCAGGGAGATAATCGATTTGATATCAACATGCTCTACGAGGCTGATAACGCTTGGCCTGCTTTATCTTCCATCCCCGGTATGGCCTTAGGTGCAGCAAGATCCAAGTGAAACCCCGCGCGGACGGGGACCAGCGCTTTCAACCACTCAACCTCGAGATCCTTATCGCAAGCAAGCCATTTCACGTTTTCCCCAGGTTTTCCTTTTCCAACATGACCTTTCCACCCCGCATTCTACTAAATCTGAGGCGGGAGATCGCTTCATTGTAAGCCTCAATTTCTCAACCACATGCATTCCCTTTTGTCCACATCATCGTGCGCGCCTCAGACTCCTGGCTTTCCATTGGTAGTGTGGTGGCCATTCGTGCCCGCAGATCATCATGACATAGAACTCGCGCCCTTTAAATGTCTGTATCTACTATCTCCGCGGAATGAGACGTCGCGTCACATGAACACCCTTCA